CAAAATGTTCTTGAGCAAGATACTGAACTGCATTGTGACTGGCTCTACGTATGTGTATACAGGTGGAACTGGTGGATATGTCCACAAACGTGATGCATCTCAGATCAAGGGAAGCTTGATACTCTTGCTGGTCCTCTGTTATGCCTAAAGTGAGGATTATTACCTGTGCTGAATGTAGGGTGGTTTTCAACAGCTTTGGTAGTTATGACAAAGTTATTTACTGTAGCAGGGCTGACAGTCAGGTGATCTGAATTTGCTGAACTTCTTTCTTTCAGAATATGGTCGAACTCAGCTGAAGTTACTTGCACCTGGTTCAGATTTTTTCACATCATAATATAACCCAGACCGCCTCCAGATGTGTGATCTGGCTGATCCAATTTCATTAAGACTGGGATACATTCTTTGTGCATGTACACCTGAATTAACCTGTTTTCATTTCTGATATCTTAAATGCAGATACAGACCAGGAAACAATGGGGTTATGGTTCACTGGCATACTTTCATTGCCTATTACAGACTTTCTGTGAATAAAGGCTTGTAAAAAATGAAAACATATCAATTTTATTCTTTAGTGTGTGGAATAATTTATTGTCAGTATCATAGTACAGACAGAGCGATCATTTAGAATTTGAATTATAATGTGTGATTTTTTGGATAAAATTCAATGGAGATCAACGTTGTCTCATTTTGGCTGAAAACATTCAAGTTACTGCATATGTCACTGTCTCAACCAATCATCATGGGTATCATGATAATACATGATTAGATCCACTAGTGATCTCAAGGTTTGTTCAGTCTCACCTATCATCTCTTATTATCTATCCAGATGAATAAAGCTCTGATCCTGTAATCATCCCATCAGCCTGTCATCTTTATTGAGGAGGTGTGGTCAGATGAGCAATCTGGAATCTGTCAACACCTCGGCTCCCTCGGCCGGGAATTCCTTCTGTAGCCCGGCTACTCTGGATCAGCTCCACATGGAAAGTACTGTGCAGTGGAAATTGGCAGCCAAAAAAACAAAAAATCCCTCAGACTTCGCAGTCTGCAACTCGTCCAGATTAGCATTCCTTCCCCCTGACACACAGGCCGAGGAGTAGGCTACATCATCATTCCACCAACAGGGGATGCACTTCAGTGTGGAGAGGGATTTAAATGAGCCACCACTGAAGAAGAGGGCGATTCAGGAAAGATGTGGAGAAAGACAGGCAGTATTGTGGTCACAAAGCACTTTAATGGCCATTTTATTGGAATGCATAACTCAGAAATAATAATCTGTGAGAAATAGGCAGAAGTGATGAAACACCTTAAACCAAGAGAATCTCATAAAAGCTGGGGGTGCAATTCTTGATGAAATACAAGGAAGGATTTCTTCAAATCTGTCAGCGTAAGTGTGATCTCATTAGAGACATTCAGATCCTGTCACAAAATCATGAAAGATCTGGGCAGCCACACAGCCCAGGGTCTGCTCCGCCAGTAAAGGGGAGGGGCGGAGAGGAAAGGGAGTGGAGGGATGAGGAGGAGGTTGTAGTTCATCAGTGGGGGTGTCAGGTGGGGGGGTAGGTGCTGGCTTCTCAACAGTAGCATTCTTTCACACACAGCAAAGTAGTCCTAGACTTTCTCTTTCTCCTGCCTCTACCTTCTCATGCAAAGGCCCTGTGTGTTCCACGTTTTCTTGGGCTACATCCACATTACTACCTTTTAGTTGTTTTATTTAAATGTAACTGATGCCACGCTAAGATCAGATGTCCACACTACTCCAGAGTTTTTAAGTGCCTAAAACGGAGAGGTATGGAAACACTGTTGTAATATGTATGAGCAAAAACAGAGATGTCTGGAAATGATGACACAATCACTCTCATTTGCTTCCTCCCATTCACTTCGGTCACAACTCGACTTCCAGCGGTGAACGCAAAATGTTTGAAAGTCTCACAGTCAGTAACAGTTCTACCTCATGATTGGTCCAACAAAATGTATCCCCCATCTTACTTTTTACTGTGGTTTCTTCTCGTTCGTCATACTTCCTGTAATGAAGCAACCAACTGCAGAGTAGACAATCTGCTTCCTGTTTGCACCAGCATGTGTGATTTACATTTTCAGATGGGCTGGTATGAATGGGGCTTATTACTATTTGGAGCTGTAACTGTTGTGTGGACAGAAATGGTTTTAGTTTTAAAATGGAAAGGATTTAGTTTGGATGTTGCCTCGGATGAATGCATCCACTGTTTGAATGAAGAAAGGTATTTCTCCCCTACTCTAGTATACATTTCTGTGAACCTGTCGAGCACAGAGAGAACTCATCACTTGAGAGTTAGGCACACACAGCGGGGATAAGACAGATGCTGTAGGATAGAGCTTTACTTGCTGATGTCAAGAACAGGATGTTGCATAAGTCTTGAGTCCCAATTGAATTCAAATGGCCTCATTGGCACTATAAAAGCACTGCAGAGCTGCCAGAGCTTTTTGGACTTTGAGTTTATATGTTGGAAGGAGGACAGCCGTGGATGTAGTAATAACTGTTTCACTACAAATACACTGATACACTGTTTGTGTCCTTGGGCACTGCCTCAGGCATGTTAGTGTTTTCATGATACCTCATTTTGCCTTTCTTTTGGCAGCTTTTGCTGATAAGCTAAAGGCAGCTGTAGTATTGAAGCGAAATGGTACATTTACAAAAGGAAGTGGCAGCAGTCTCTACTTTCTCAAGAGTCTTAGATTTGTTCACACTGAGCACCTTATTTACATGCTCCAGATGACCAATGCTTTTCTGACCTGGTGAACAGCCAAACAGTTCATGGAGTGTTCCCATGAATTAATGTTTCTCAAGTTTCTGGAGCACCACTGCACCACTGGGTGAATCTCAAGCTTCAGTTTACAAACTTTGGCAACTTGTCCAGTAGCCAGAGGCATTATATTTTTGGGTGGTCCGTCCCTCTGTCCCATGGTTACGTCCGTCCGTTTCTTGTGAACGCGATATCTCAAGAACAGCTTGAAGAGATTTCTTCAAATTTGGTGTAGACGTGTGGTTGGACTTGTTGATGAATGGATTATAATTTGGAGGTCAAAGGTCAAGGATATTGTAACCTCACAAAACACCCTTTTGGTCCTAGATCCAACATCTGAGGAACACCTTGTACAAATGTTCACTTGGACTCAAAGATGAACCAATTTTGTTGATTGAGGGTCAAAGGTCATGGTGACCTTGCAGTGGTCGGCAGTGGCAACACAACCGCAGGTCAGTTATTCTAGTTACATTATTTGATCAGCCACAGTGTTAATGTAAAAATAAGAATGAGACATTAATGAGACAGAGCTAGAGTGGGTTGCAATTCAAAGTCGTGCTTGTGCAGTGATATGGCTGCTGTCTGTCATGAAGCACCCGCCTTTAATTGAATGTGATGGTGAGAGCCATAGTTCCCATTAAGAGTATATATACGACAAAAACAAGAGAGGGACACAAGTTATTGGGCCTTGATTAATAAACATAATATCTGAGAACATTATGTTTTGTGTTCCTGAAACTTGAATTTGAACTGGACTATCATACAGATCCCTAAATGACAATGGTCTGCAGTCAATCAGGAAGTGTTTCCTTCATCATCTATAGTTCTCAGCCCTGAACTGGAAGGGGAGCATGCTAAATATGGAAAAGATATTTTATAATGCCGAAGAATGGCATGAATTATTATGTGGTTGAAATACTTGTGTTTAAGTATGGAGATGTCTTCTCCAGAGGTTTCACACTGAGAATTTGCACATGTGGAAAAAGTTGACTTGAAATGTAAAAATAGATTTGGATCTGGTGATGTGTGTAAAATGAGGGCAGTTGTCCATAACTGACTATTTTTTCTCAGAAGTCGGCAAAGGACTCGGTAAAAGCAGGGTTTTCATAAGATTTCCTACACATAGGCCAAACAAAAAGGAAAAAAAATAGCCACTATCATCCATTTTTTCAGGAAATTTGATTCCAAAAATAATTAACAAGTAATTTAGGACCACATAATTACATGCACTTTTTTCAGATATTCTTTTCGAGAGAGGCCCACTACACTACACTACAATGTGTTGCATTATGGGTTGTTTGCAGACTTAATTTTGAATGGCTCATGCTATCATTGTCTTTCAGAGTCAGTCATCTCTCTAAGTGTTTAATTACGTGTAACCTTGAAACATGTTGCAAAGACCCACTCCAGCAGTCTAATACACCCCCCAAAAGGTTTCTTTTGTTCCTCAAAATTACATATTCAAAAGGTATGTCTTGAAAAAATGCTAGTATGACTTTGCCCTTTACCTCTATCTCCTATAGCACTGAAAGCTCACCTGCAGTCAAGGAGCCTTTTCTAGAGGACAGGTTCTCGATAAAACCAAGTCTGTTCTGTTCCTCTGCTTTGTCTTCAGCTGGACCACAGCTGAGAGGCCACTTTCACATCTGATAGGTAGTGCTGAATGGGAGGATAATTTAATGCATGGGTGGCGAGGAATAGCTACTCTGATGACTCTCCGAGCTTAGTACAATTTGGACATGTGAAATGTTCACCATTAATAAAATGTAAATAAACAAGCAAACAGTGGGCGCTGGGGTGGAAGAAATGCAACTTCCTTGTTCTGAAACTAGTAAAGGTAACTGAATCACACTTTGCACTGCTTTGCACTGGGAGTAAGAAAGGGCTGATTGTGTTTAAGCTAGGGTTGGTGAGCCTGGAAAGGGTAGCAGGTTACACTTTAAAAACATGCAACCAAGACATTCCACCCACTACCTAACGACCGTCTCTGCTTCAGCGCTGCGTGTCTGTCCAGCTAGAGAAGACTCACAGAGTGTAGTAGCAGGTTAATGGCAGACAGGAAGGCCAGCAGAACATTTGATTTGGTCTGAATTAAATGATTGGTTGTGTTTATTACACTCCTGCAAGAACTTCCACACAGTTCCTTATTGATTTAAGCTATTGGGACATGAAGAGGATTTAAAACAAGATAAAAAGTAACAAAAAACAACCTTCCAATCCAACTCTTTATATATGTTTAATTAAATTCACTTAAATGACTGTTGGATCAGGTATCAACAGCTGGTACAGCATCTGTTATATGGCAGATATGTAATTATTGATAAAAAACATATAACCTCTCTATATGTTGACTGACCTCTCTCAGCTGATAATAAATCATAAAGAGACCCTACATACAGAAAACACACATTTGGTTCTTACTGTGTGGCTTCTTTAAATGTCTTTGTGTAAAGGCGTTGAGAGGTGCAGTATACATTGAGTAAAAACAACACAAGGAAAACATTGATAAAACCACTAATTCTGTGAGTCAGCGGAGGTGGTAGGAGGAAGCTTGGTGAGGATCCAGCTTCTCAGCAGCTCCATTTCAGGCTGGGAGAGCTGATGATACAGGCCTGGAAAGGAGTGAAAGGCAGTGTGCATGCCAGCCTTCTTCAGCAGCATGGATGTGTCCTCTCCCCACTGATGGAGCACCAGATCATCACTAGTCCCATGGCACTGGAACAACTCGGGGAGTGCGAGACCTGCTCTGAGCCGCTCCTCCACAGCCTTCACCGTACACAAGGTCAAATAGAAACAAAAACATTGGTATTGTGGCAAATCTTCATCGATACTGTTTGTTCTGGGTAAGTCAGCAATCCAGGGCTGCTCAGGCTTACAGGAGTATGATAATATTAATAATGTTATTTTATTATTAACATTACTGCCTACACTGATGAGGCAAAACATTATGACCACCACTACCTAGCATTCTGTTGGTCCTGAATATGCTGCCAAAACAGCTTTGATCCATAGAGGCATGGACTCTGAAGGTCCTTGTAATAAGTCCTGTAGGTTGTGAAATGGACACATAGCATATCGAATACATCCTACATCTTCAATATTGACTATACAATTATCAGCCACCGACTAATACTGTATGTGTCACAGCTTTTAGTCACTTAATCTATTCTGCCAAAGAGAATACTGATTTACAAAAAACTATTTGGTTTAGTTATTTGGACAGCAGAAGGGTGTGTCACTTTACCAGAGATGTACTGAGCTGGTCCTAAAGTATCAGGGCTCATGTGGATCAGCAAAAATAAAGTTGAGAAAAATGCAGTGGGTTGGAGGCTGGAGCTATTCTTTTGTTTGTAATATTGAGTAAATATTTATTATCTTGGTTTTTATCTTGTATTATTATTATTATAATGAAATGAAAATGATGAACGCCCTGACAAGCAAAATGTGGCTTCTGATGAGAGAAACCTCCAGGATAGTGTTTCAAACATCTCATGATCAAAGTGGAATCACTCCAGACCACATTCTCAGGTATCCAGAGTATCATCCACCTCAGCTGTAAGGGTACAGACAGAGGTTGATAAGGCAACACTAATGGATCGCGTGGCTGCATTAAAAAGGAAACATTTATTGGAAGCCAAAGAGGAGGAACTAAGTAGGGAAAAGGAACAATTTGCTCTGGAAACCGAACTGGCTGCAGTAGATGCAAAACTTCACGTGCTGGAAATAAAGTCAAAGTGTGGCTGTAAAACATCTGGTGGAATAAACTCTTATTTTGAAAGGAACAGAGCTCTAAGAACAAGTGGACTGAATCCTTATGCAGAACATTTGGTCCCATTAAATGGTGATGAAAACATCACAAGTGAGCTCAACCAGCCCAGGCTGTTTCCATCAGGCCTAAACAAATAGCAGATTTGACATCAGACCTGCAAGTGGCATCCCTGTACAAGTGGCTCATGACAGTCACCTAAATGGACACACATCACATCTGAGCCAAGCCTGCAACAGTAACAGCTAGATTGATATTTTGAACATCATGCAAAAACAGAATGACATCACTGCATTATGGATCTGCAAATTTTGCATTTGCTCTTCTGGTAAGAAATATGAGGTTAATGATGATGATTCAGTTGCAGTCAATTCATTCCAACCTGAGTGATTGCCTGCTCTACTGATAGCAGTACACCAGGGGGCAGCCAAGAGATCTTGTGAAGAGTTGGCGTTCTAACTGTATTCACAAAATATAAAAAGGAAAATAAAAAACGTCTTTCTCTCATTTGCTATCAAGATATCAGCTGTCCTATGCATTCTCAACCTGGGGTGGTCACACATTTCTTGGAGTGGCCAGATGGTTGTGGAGATAAATATATTCAAAATAAAATAACATTGACTATATTTGTTCTTGTTTGACCAGCAAGCTTGCTAGCTATCGCATTAAGGGACATAACTTTTCATATTCCAGCTCATCTCAGACCAACGGGAGGGGTTTCAAGGTGGGTCTCCTGACAGACCAACGGTAACATCATCTGGTGGGGAGCCTTAGTTTCAACAGAGCCCTCAGCTCACAACAGCATCTCAAATATAAGCCAGACTTTCTGCAATATGGATTTACAGATCTAAAGTCTGGTCAGAGAGGGTGTTCTGGCCATGCAGCATCTGCCTGGTGGCTCAAGGGAAGAACGCATCATGTTTCGCACAACTCATTTGCTCTTAAATTGAGAAAACACTCAAAACAGTTGAACTATAACACAAGGTTCATAATTATGACATGGCAGACTATGGGGCAGAGACACACTCTTTGAACAGGCCTTGCGAGTATGTAGAATAGCAGCGCTCAGGTTTAACATTGATTAACCGGGGTCAATTGTCCAGACCAAATTGTGGTGTGTGGATTTTGAGACTTTTTGATTCAAATAAATTGGTGTCCTTGCTTAACCCTGAATATTGATATAAATTAAACTACATGGTCCTGTACTCTTGTTTCTCGGCAAAGGATTCCCACACCCTCCAGCTTAATGATCTAATCTGGTGTTTATGTCTCAACACAATACAACAATTCTGAAGGCAATTTGTTTAAGGGCGATTAAAAGAAAAAACAAGATCGAGACATGCACTGACATACATACACTAAACAATAACACAATAAAACAGAAGAGCAGATCAATTGCATTGAGCTAACTGTGCAATTTCTTTACAAATACTAATGCTCTTTAATATTATATGGGTTCATTTTTGACCCATATATATATATGTGTAGAATTGATGTACCTGAAAAGTGACAGAGTCCTTGTTGAGAAAGCTGGATAGTGCAAAAACTCCCGCTACATCAGGGTGATACCGACAGGCCAGATGGAGAGCCATGGCTCCGCCCATTGAGAATCCACCTTCGATTAGGCACAAGAAAAAGAAAATGAACTGCAGCATCAGTAGAGGCATCAACTGAAAGTCTGTGAGCAGATTTAATTCTGTGTAACACTGAGTATCATAAACATATGGGTAACAGCAGCTTTCTCAGAAAGGTGGAAAATACCTCTCTTAAAAAGACATTAAGATGGATAAGACTCCACAGTTCCACAGTTTCAGCTTCTTTTTCCCTCTTGGAATTAGCAGTTGTTCATGAATCTGTCCTTAATCTCACACATCTGGGTACATCTGGGCACACTGTGTACATCTGGGAAAGTGTGCAAGTACCCATCATCCTGTCAGAGGGTTGACGAATGACGGCAAGTGAAAAGAGAGAAAAGAGAGGGGGTGAAGAGATGAAGAAGAGGTGGAATTCACATGCAAGGACAAATGAGTCCAAAATTAAAATGACATGCAGCAATCTGTTTACTGAAGTCGCCCCTCTGTGTGTGAGCGTGTGTGCAATTACAGATATATTTGTTAGGAGCCTACAAACTACAGAGTGAGAACATTTTGGTAAAGTGAGGACATTTTGGCTAGTCCTCACTTTCTGACCCACTTTTATTGGACTGTTTGAGAGTTAAGACTTGATTTTAGAGTCTGGTTTAGGGTGAGGCATTTAAAGTTAATGGTTAGGGTTAGGGGCTAGGGAATGCATTATGCCAATCAGTGTCCTTTATATGTACAAATGTGTCTGAAATGGAAAATGTGCAGACTTGGTGTTGAAGACACCGGTCTCTGCCACCCACACATAAACCTGATGCATCTAAAAACGCACTTAGTTTACTTTGGTTTTAACTTCCATGTAGGAAGTGTCAGTAAATGTTAGCTGGTGGATGTTTTGCATAGCCAGTCCTATCTCGATACCTTGTTTTAGTACTGTACCAGCAGGATGGAAATGCTTTGTTAATGTTAGAGCCAACATGAGGCTCCATAGTCAGGTCAAGAATTTTATGGCTTTCATGCTCCAAACATCAGCGGAGCTTTATTCAAGACAAAATTGAAATGTCACAATGGAATATTAGACTCAGACAGAGACAAGGGAGATTGGTTTTGACTTATTATAGATTCAGAATGGAAAGCTATTGAGAGCCACATAAAAATCAAATAGTTTACTATTGTTTACAACATTGTAAATGCCACATTTTTTTGACAGTGGATGCAAAAAGTGAACCACCGATATATTGATGGATTATATTTCCATTCTTCAACACGGAGGAAAAAAGGATATCTTTATAATCTGCTTGTGTCTTTTGACTATCAAGGGTCTCTGTTCCCAGAGCTAAGTTTTAGTGGATTGTATTTATAAAGCTCTTTTCCAGTCATATCGACCACTCAAAGTTCTTTACATTACATGTCACATTCACTCATTCGCACATACATTCATACAGCGCTTATATACACAGTGTTTTTTTCTACTAATACACCATTCATTCACTGTCAGCAGAGGCGTCAGGGGATGTTTGGGGATTTCAGTGTCCAAGACACTTCAGCATGTTGACCGGAGGAGCCGGGGATGAAAACAATGCCCCTCTTGGTAGCTGTCCCAGGATCTTAAGGATTAACTTCTTAATTAATATAATCTTGGATAAAAGTAATGATGGTCAAAACTATGAAAGTAAGGCCCATGTTATAACAAATTGGAAATACTCTACAGTAGATAGTAGAAATAAATTGTAAACGGGTCTGACAAAGTGATATTACAGCTAAGAAAAAAATGATCGTACATGTACATACTGTTTGTCAAACTCACTACGTTTTCATCACAGTTCTTAAAAAATAAAAGAGATCTACCCCTAATGTGTTGAAGCACATGGCGTGCAAAAAGAAAAGAGTTTAACTATAAATCAAAAATTATTTCCTCATCATCAACATGAAGTGCAGCATTTGTCATATTGAGCTGAGCAGGTCTGCAGTGTGTGTGTGTGTGTGTGTGAGGTTCCCTCACCTCTGCACACTGAAACACAACAGCACTGCAGCCTGCAGCCAGCCCCCTCAAAAACCTTTTCCATGGAAACTTTTGCCGCTTGTCAGTCCGTCAGCTGGGGAAATGGACTCTGGGTACACGCTGCTGCATTTTTCCAGCACTGAGTATTTATAGTTAATGACAAAATGTTATGATTTAGTAAGATAATATTTCAGCAGTTTCCCAGGAGCATGTGTTTTTTCACTTTGTCTCGAGTCAAGTCTTTCACCCCCCACCCCCCAACGGCTGTGCCTCAATAGTTATACATTTCAGAGTTTGGAGGTTAACCCTTCTCCCACTGGTTTTCCCTTCAAAGTGCAGCCATCATTCGCTGACATTAAAACACTCAATAGCCTCCCATTTGTTTCTTGAGGGAACTCTTGAATTGCATCAGCCATGCAAATACTGCTTGATCCAAGGGGATTCATTGTAATGTTATTTTATATGTGAATTTGATAAGCAGAATATTTGAGACTAAAAGCTTTTGAGGACCTGAGAATTCCTCCTGAAAATCCTTTTTTATTCTCTGTTGGCAGCACATGAAAGGACACTGTAACCTGATGAGAGAGATGCATTCTTCATTTTATATCATGACAGAGGGAGTAAGGAACAGCCAGGCTCAGATCGGCTGAGCTGTGCGTGTGTGTGTGTGTGTGTGTGTGTGTGAGAGAGAAGTGGGAGAATACAGAAGAAAAAGGATCCAGTAAGAAAGAAGGGGTGTGAGAAAAGAGAAACAGTGAGGGATTAAAAGGCTGACAGATGGCATCCTCACTATTCTCTGGCCTCTGGTGGACATGCAGTCATTGTTGTCCACCACTGATTTAGTGCATATTATGCATTTATTGTGAAATAACTGTACCGCCCCACACTACTGTGAGGTCATAATGAACAGGCTGGGGGGAAACAGGCAGCCTGGGGACTGTTTACATGTTTACATTCACATTTAACAAGTAGTTAATAAAAACGCTGTTTTCAACATCGACCTTTGTTTTGTGTTTTTTTTAAAGAAAAAATGATTCGATCTGGCACCATCTAGGCACTGCTTCTATTTTGAAAGTATTAAATTAGCATCAGTATTGAAAAGAAATACCAACGACCCAACCACTCATAGCACACATGAAGTCAAAACTGGATCCATACCGATGACCATCCTGTCTTTGTGGATGCCGGCGTTGACCTCTCCCTCAATGATGGACCCTAAGGTGCTGCTCATGGCGTCTATGGACTCAAGGTGCTCTGGGCAGTCCCGCGAGATCTTGTGACGGTCAAACCAGACAGTGGACAGAGCCCCTCTCATTGGTGTGTATGGCCTGATGGCATAAACATGAAGGTCAGATGTCAGCCACAGTGCTACAGCTTCATTTCAGGCAAACTTGGTGAGTATACGTATACACCAACAGGAACTGGGTCAGTAGGCTGTGGGCTCAGGAGATAGAGGGTCATCCACTAACCAGAAGGTTGGTGGTTCGATCCTCGATAGTGTACGATAGTGAAAGCACGAGAGTGTAAATGTGACTTGTACTGTTAAATACTATGAATGGTCGAAACATACATAAGTCCATTTACCGTTATATTTTATGTTCTTATTACTTTAGCTTTCTCCAGAAAATACAGACAAAAAAAAGAGCAATGAAGACAATGACATCTGTGTCTAAAAACCTTTGTGACAGGTCAGTGACACTGTTTATCCACTTCATCAGGGGGAGTTTAAACTGCAGCTTCTGAGGCTAATGGCAGCACAACTGCCCCTCCAACATTTGCTTTAGTCAAACGTGGCCCAGCTGTACACTTACCTAGCTGGGGCTGTGGGGTAAATAACTTTGATGTGGCTGAAGGCCAGATCTGGCACCATAACATCTCGAACCCAGGCTCTCAGTCCCTGCCCAGTGTCACCTAGACAAGGAGAAAAAAAACTTAATCAGTAGACTACAAAGACAAGCAGACAAGGTACGTACACCACCATGTTTTTGATGGTTATATGGGCCATGAATCCAGGATAATGACATAAGCTGTTTTCGGATATGACCTGTGGGGGAGATTCTCTGCTCAAGAGAATAGCGTTCAGGTGTTCGCCAAAAGCTCCTTTGACATCTTCATCAGCATCTTCTACGTGTATGGCACTGCTATTTCATACTGGGATACTTGTTTCCTTTTGTTTACATCTGTCACGAGTTAGAAACGTAATCAACACTTCACTCACGGTGAACCTTGCGGAGGATTATTTGCTTTGTTCTCACTTCCTGCTGACTTTTTACAAGGGGGCCAGGCGGAGAAACTCTGCAGAAAGCCTGGAGGTTCTTCCACTGTCATTTATATTCACATATACAGCCCCTTCAGAGAATGTCCACAGATTCTGTAGAGTTCAGTCTGAAAGCACCGATAAGACTGTATCATGTATCTGCATGTCTAACATGTTTAGAATTAAAATATTAAGGGCATGAAATAAACAACATGCCAAGGCACCTTAAGCCTATCCAACACCTACAAATTAAAATACAAACATTTAGGATGCTGTTTAAGGTGCAAATGCTGTGTAAAAATAAATAACAGCAGAATAGTGGGAGGAATGACATAAAAATATCAGTCTGTCATTATTTAATACGACTTCAAATATTCATGTAACTAGTTCCACTGGTGTGAACTCTCGTGTCCTTTATGAAAAGAGTCCAGTCTCTTAAAAGTCTGGTCATGTGAACACTTCTCTGCAGGACTTCCTTCTCTGTAAATAAATAACTAAGGTGCCTTTAAAGTATCTGATACTTTTCATTGCAGGTCAGATTTCACTCCGATCTCTTCCCAAGCAGCTGCAGTGTTTGAGCTCATCCCTGAATCTGGCGGAGCTGCACACCCAGTGTCCACTTCAAAAACCAAACACTGCGCGTGAACAGCTCACAGCGACGAGGCTTCACTCAGCCGAGTCTGTCAGGTTGAACTCTGGCTGACATCAGGTCAGTTTCCCAGCAGGGTCAACAACGAGCGGGTCTTCACTCCGCCATGTTGTGAGGCACAGTAACAACACACTGAAAGCACCTGAGCCGTGCAGGAAGATGACCGAGGCGGAGTGTTTCCCCGCCGGAGAGACCGCACACGTCCGAAGCTTCCTCGCTGCAGCCATGACAGGTTGAGAAAATCTCATTCTCGCGAGATCTCTGGAACGCGTGTGTTCGTGTGTGTACTTGCACAGATGTCTTTGTGAGGACCACAGTGAACATAATCATTAAAATAAATAAGAATAAAACTATTTCGGGAAAGTGAGGGCATTTTGACAGGATATACATCATTAAACAACAAATTAGATGTATGAGTGACTGGGTGACACTAAAGAACAACACAGACATCTAAACTAAACACTTTTTGTTGCACTTGTGCAATGACTTGGTGTTATCTTAACTTAAGCCTGTTTTCCAGCACTGTTTCATACACAATGAGGTGATATAATGGAATGTCTGGATGTGCATATCAGCTTAAACACATTTGTTGGTTTTATCTTGTATAAACCTTGGCCTCTTTAACTTGGATTCTGGTCATTCTCCTCGGTCTCACACTCAAAGAACAACATGAACAGTGTCCCTGCTCTGAACCCCACTAATGATGCTGAGATTGGAGTGAGTGAAGTTTGGCTTAATGAGGCCTGAACTAAGTCTAGTTACTGCTGTAAGGGCACTTGCATTTTGTGAAGACTGAGGTCCTGTCTTCCAGGGCCAAAATTCAGTCACAAGTTGGTTCCAGGTCAAAGATGAACCATTAGAAATGTAATTATGCTCTAAGGTTATATTCTAAACATCAATTCAAAATGTTAAAACATGTTTCTTCCTTATTTCACATCCATGCCACCTTCCACAGTAAGCTATACTAGAGTCCCTGGTATTATCACTATGGGTAAGACGGCAGACATAGACCAGCAATTAACACAAAGTCAGAGGGCTTTTATGCTCAAGCACTAAGTGAATAAGCCTATGCAAACAAAAATTGTCTCTGAGTTACATTTGACAGATTCTATTCAAAGAAACATTTCATATATCCCTAATAAACCACCAAGAGTGTATCAGTGCCAGTGTCTGTTTTTTTTCTTTTGGAAATGAGACAGTAGTAAGTGCTAAGTGTATGCAGTTTCTAGGTGGAGTGTGCAAAGGTGGTTTACAGGCTTCACTAAAGATGTGCCTGAGCAGGGAATAAGTACTGTGAATGAATTCTGACTCCCTCAGCTCTTGCGAAAGGTCTTTAGCATGGGATATTTTGACATATCAAAGGAAAAAGCACAGGGGTTTGATAACATTAACATTTACTTTTTTCCCCCTTTCAATTACATGTCAAAATATCTCCCATGAAAAGGCAAAGGCATGTTGAAATGGCAACTGGGCTTCTTTTAATGCTACACATTGGAAGACCTTACTTGCCTGTTTCTGACTGCAACTATTTCCCCCTGCTTTTTGTGTAGATCAGTGGTACCTTCACCTGGTTAACAGTGCATCACCACTGACCTCAGTATCCTGCTTCAGCCTACACTGCAGTATGCAGCCTTGGCTGCTCTCATCCAGCTTTTATGGCCTCGCATCAAAGAGAGAGAGCCACATAATTCAACCAACATGAAAGTGCGGCAGAGTGTACATTTTTTCGTGGAGAGAAAAACTATAAACATGCCGAACCTTTAACAGATATGGGGTGACTGTGCCTCAGGAAGTAGAGCGGGTCGTCCACTAACCAGAAGTGGTTTGATCCCCGGCTGCTCCATTACATGTGCCAAAGTGTCCTTGGCAATACACTGAGCCCCAATTTGCCCGTGGCAGCAGTGTGTGAGTGGAGTGTGAATGGGTGAATGGCAAAACTGTGCTGTAAATCTGGGATTTCCTTTACCTACAGCATGGGAGCAGAAGTTTTGGATTTGCAGGCATGGCCACAGGAGGCCAAGGAATTTTTATGGCAACACTGTTTTATTCTCAGGTTTGACTTTGATGTGGATTGATGTAGTCTTCATTATTTCTTTCATAGTGAAAATTAGAAGCATACATGTCAGCACAAAGGTCAACAGGGACAGCATTTGATACAGTGCAGTTTCACTTGACAAAATTGGTCTAATGAAACTGCTCAATCTGTCCCAAAAGCAGGACTGAGTAATAAATCATTCTGTTTATAACCTTGTTTTAGCCACAAGCTGTCTCTTGCCTGCTCTCCAAACTTCTCATTCTCAGTAATCCCCATGCCTCCGTTACCTCCCCATGAACAGGGCTGCCACTGTGGAAGTCATCCTGCTGCGGCTGCATGGGCGTGGGGGTGGGGATATATTTCACCTTGCAGAACTATTCTAGGGAAGCTTTGGCCCCTTAGCTCTGTGCTGTTGAAGTCAGATCTGGGGTAAAGAGAACTGATCCTAGACAAGCACTCAGGGGCAAATGTGTCTCCTATGGGTGTTGGGGAAACACCTGCTCAGGCCTTGGATTCAACCCTAACACTGTGCTTCTATAGTGAGCTTGACTTCACATCAGTTTCCATTACACAGTGCAGAAAAGGAAAGCAGTGTTTTCTGAGCTGTGTGCCTCTCCTGCCAACTTCTAATTTTGTTTTCTGGAAAATAAAGGGTGATGGGAGTCATCCTGCTGCTTCGCACGGTACAGTCTCTGTTTGGGTTGATTTTGGAGCTGTGGAACCCTCTGGGATGGATCTTTGCCTTTTGTTTGGATGAATCTGTCACAGACAATAACTAGAGGGCAGAAACTTGGTGAAGTAGGGATTGAAAGGAATGGGAAAAGCCCTTTTGTTTTCTATCTGAGAAGATGAGTTTTCGAGTTAATCAACCAATCAACAACTCTAAAGCTCACTGATAAACACATTGAATATCCTTTAGTTGCATAGTAAAAGAAATGTAAATTTTAATGTTAAAGTTGCTTCAATAATAGTTTACATCTGTGACGGATTTATATTATG